CAATTCCTCCTTCCTTGGAACCACATCCATACATCTGATTTGTAAGCGTCCGGATAAGTTGAGCGATCCACTCACAATTGCCCATCCATCATCAAACCACAATGGATAACACCACTAATTCAAAGATAATCAGCATACCCCGCTCCGAGCGTAGCAGCGCCATACACCACATTAATCAGGCCATGCATATACAAAACCAACCGTCGTGTCTCGTAAAGGTGGGGGGCTCGCAAAACAGGTGAGCACAAGTACCAAACCCATCGTGGTGACTGCACAAAGGCTAAGGGCAACAATGAGAGGTACTATAAAGAGGACAGCCGAGGAGGGCGCCATATGATACGCAGGGCAAGTAGCAGGATGCAACTGATGTATCGTCGAGAAATCCACTGATACCCAGAGAACACTACCCCAGAATGAGAGAGAGAAGGAAAGGAGGAGGGGGCATGATATCGAAACAGCATATGCGAGAAGGACCAAGATTCTACCGCGGATATCCATTGCAGCAAACAAGTAGGTCGAGCTTCTTCGCTAAAAGGTATCACGCCTGCCGAGACTAATCGTCAGTTTCCTACGCCCTACACCACTTAGGGGTAGCTGGAACAGAACAGTTGCCGCGAAATGATGAGTATAAGATCCTCGTCTGAGTGTCCAAGAAGGCCAAAAACGCAAAATAGGCCAAGCAGATGACGCAAAAGGATGCAAGCAAATGGGCGATCGCAAGAAGCTCCATGACTCAGATCATCCATCCGCAGAAGGTCACTATCCACACTGCTGTAGTGTCGATGAGGACACAAGCATCTCCTACATCAAAACAAACAGAAACAAAGGTACAGGCAAAATATATATACACAAACCAGAGATCAAAACAAGCAGGTGGTTAAATCATACACATGGGGAGGCAGACAATGGACATAAAAAGGTGAATGGAGGAACAGGGAGGAAGGGAAGGAGGAAGGGAAGGAGGAAGGTCCCAATTCGATCAGGCGGCTCGTCGACTGCTGGCGTTTGGCAAGAAGGTAGTGGAACTCATTCTAAAGTACTTTTCACCGGTCTCCACAAATACCGGATCTTCAGAGAACTTAAACAACTCTCATGACGCATCGAAAGGGATATGAGCAATGTTGGGTCAAGCCCATATTCCATGAAGACGAAGAGCACGAACGAATAGGGGAGGGGGAGAGAAAACCATCGATACAACAAGGCAAACAAGGCATGAAATCTCCACCCATACTAGCAAACGGGGCTAGACTCCACGACGTGATGGTGGGAGGTTGGGGGTGGGTGGTGGGTACAATTAGGGAGAGTAAATGGTTACCGTGATGGCAGCCATATCCTCGCAGCGACGCCGACTTGCCAAACACTTCAACACCCGCCGCCGATACCCGCAGGTACGCAACCACAGAAGGAATCGACGCACAAAAACGGCAATGCAGCGAGGATACTTGCAAGAAGGCAGCGTTTGGTGGTGGCAGCATGCACTAATCACAGCGGTGGTCATTGCTCAGCAGTCATCCATGCGCAAGTTCGGCCTTCCAGATGGTAACAGCAAGCATTCGCAGCATGCCCCTCCTACATCCAGCACGCGATAGCGTCGCCCGGCGTAAAGGGGGGGAGAGGCGGAAAACGGCGGGCAACAGGGGCAGTTGCCGATCGCGTATGCACAGCGCCAAGAGAGAAGCCAAACGCGCAGCGCGCAAGAAGCAGATCCGTGTCGGCAATCTCGAAGACTGGCATACCCAAGGCGTGTACCACCAGAGCCCCAAGGAAAGGCGTGCGCTATTCAGTGGAACAACGCTCGTCCCCCAAAGACCCTAGCAGCAAACGCGGCTTAGAGTGAGAGGAGTTGACTGGTTGCCCGTGTGGTTTAAATAATTCTGGACCCTAGCAAGATATCCGGAGGTCCCATCGTAGGCGGTGGGCGCCACTTCTTTAGATACAAGGTACAGAGGCCCGGTACTAGGGGCTCATGCGACAGTTAGCGGGTTAATTCGTGGGTTATCAGGACCCTTTGGCTGGACAACGGGGATCATGGGCCAATTCTTTTGGCGGACATCCGATACCCACTTGCAGGTCAGTGGCCGGCAGGATAGGCCAAAAAGAAAACCTGAAAATGGAAGAAAGGGAAAGTCACCAAAATGGCAAGGGAGGGGTGTGGAATGCACAGGGCCCCAATTTGCACGCATGTACCGTACTTCCCTACATGTGTGAGTGTGCACGCGCGCGCGCGTGTGTGTGTGTGTGTGTGTGTGTGTGTGTGTGTGTGTGTGTGTGTGTCTCTGTGTGTGTGTGTGTGTGTGCCCCACCCCATTCCTGCTAGGAGGTAGTCCCGCTAAGGCAGGTAACATGTAATGTCTCAGGCAGGGTACCCGCTAGCCACCATAGCAGCACCCAGCATTGGGGGCATGTTATGGCACACACACACATATATACACACGCACTTAGGGCAAGTGTGGGGAGAAGAAGAGGAACAAGTTTCGCCAAACTTACATGGAATGCTCTCTTCGTGTCCTCGCAAGAAACCTTGGGTGCCATAAAACCCTGAGGATGGTTAAGTACCCTATTCACACTAGCAGTACACCTATAGCAGGTTTGAAACCATTGTCAATCATATACGTTACAACACTCAGAATCTCCTGGGCCGCCAACTGTGGATCAGAGCAGATGACGAGGATTATTGCCACCTCGGACAAAATGATATCCAATGACTGTTGGCCTATTTGAAGCGAATTTAACATACCTGACCACATGAAAATCGAGCGCACACCTCTTATCGAATTTTGTGGTAACAAAACTGTCCTCAGTTTCAGAGGTTACAAGTATCTCAACATTGAGAAACTGAGACTTGATACCATAGACCTCCCATGTCGCGGAGGTGGTAAAAATCTTCGTTTGATTCTCGATATCAATCAGATGCTATGGGTACAGCTGGAACAACCCATCATCATCCCGGTGTGCCGGCGTTTGCAGAAACCTCAGGATCGATGGGTTGTTAGGGACATGCAAATCATCAATGTATCTAAAGCAGTGCTTAAAAAGCGGGAGGTAGTGGAAAGCCCTGCGATCAACCAGCCTCATGATGAGGTTGTATTCGTACTTAAAAAAGTACACAGTGCACCAGGAAAGGGAGCAAGGCAGTCTCATAGGAATGCCAAGGATCTGCCTCCAGATTTTCCTGCCTAAAGAAGTGAAGCAGTGGTCAGACAACCATCGCGAGATGGCAATGATCATTCTGTAGTCAACCCAAAAGCGATTCGTAGTGGGTTCCTGTTTTGGTGAATGATCCGAGGAACACTTGAATTGATCATCTTTGATGCGCTTGCATTTGATCACACAACCTAGCTGCTTCCCAACAGCAAACCTGAAAGCAGTTTTGGTTAAAAAGGTCATGGAAGCGACCAAACTGTTCTCGGAGTCGTCAATGAGAATGGTTTCGAAACATCGGGTGATATCCGTGGAGAATACGGAAAAGACTTTCTCCGGCAAATTGTAACAGTAATCCTGCACCAAGTCAACGGCCCACCATAAGGTGGTATCCACACCATGGAAACGTCGGAGACTGTCTGCAATTTCCTTACAATGAGATATTACCTGGGGCATCATGCATTTGAGCAGGGCGTCACAAAGACATGCAATTGGGGTGAGAAAGGAGAAAGAAGCATTCGTCAACCACCTAAATGCCAACTTGTGGTGCTTGTAAAGCACCATTAGGTACGGGATCCTGCCCTCCCCAATGGAGAGCCAAGGGAGAAAATTAGACAAGGACTGTGAAGCTTCACCAAGGATCTCCTCAGGGGGAAGATCAACAGGTTCAAAGTCAGCATTGCAAAGACGCTCCAGTGCAAGCTTCCTTAGAAGGTGAATACACACATACGAAATGGCGTTGGCCGATTTGTCCGTTCCGGCAATAAACAGCCGTTTGGACAAGAATTCAATTTCGGCCTTTACCTCATGCAGCTCTAGTTCACACGGGGGCTCCTTGTACATCCTTAATTTCGAAAATCCTAAGAGTGCCTTCAGTTTGTCGGAAAGGAAAGCATGGGCTCTGGACCTCATGCCCCTGGTGATATACATCCTACTGAAAAGGAAATCAGACACGACCTGCCATGCTCTTATAAACTCGTGGAAGGCCTCACCCGGATTCCTTGGTCAAAGCGGGATATGGTTCAGACCTTTGCGCAACAGGTTGGAAAGTTTGGGGAGGGAAGCAATATCAGGATCAAGGGTAAGCACATGAGAGGATGGGGACGAAAAGGGTTGAGCCATCTCCCTAGTACAAGGATGATGGAAAGGGAGAAAGCGTTTAGTCATGCAAAAACAAGACTCCCGACTAGAGCACGACAGCATTCATTCATCCAAGTCAAAACAGTCAAAAACACGAAGCGGTTTGTACAAGACGGACTCCATAAAGCTCAAATACGTCCATCCAACGACAATTTTTGTCAAAAGTTCCGAAGCAGCCGAAGAAAAAAATAGATCGATTGCCTCTTCAAGGATAAATCCGAACCGCACAGTCTCCATGATGCGGCTGGTATAAGCAATATGTACAAAAAACTCTTTCTGTCCTTCGACTCATCTTTCAGCCACTTATTTCTTTCAGTCGAGTCACGAATCATTCTGCCCCCCGCCTCCTGGACACAGCACAGCAAGTGGCCAGCAAACGACAAAGATGAGATTGCTCGTAGCACATGGCACCTCCCCCGCGAGTCATGAATCCGGGGGTCCATTGTAATACTCGTCACGTCAGTACAAAGAATTCAGCGGAGAGCACCTCTAGTATAAGTGCACACCATGATCCAACCCAGTGCAGTATCCAAAAACAAAAATATGAACAAGCACACCACCGCTAACCCGAAGTCTACACAATGCCAAATAAATCGATATTGGTCAATGCTCATGGAACTCTCTCATCCAGCCGGATGCTAGAGAAGGGGGGCAGCCATGGACAGGGGCATACAAGCGACACCCCCGCTACCCGATAAAAAGTGCAGCTTTGGAACTCGTCATGCTGAGGCCGTTCATTACTTTGACTTTACTCGACACGGAGCAACCCCCATCAGTCTACGTAGTAACAGTGGAACCAAGCGGAGAGGTCCCCTCCTTATCAGCTGCCTGTGTGTGCCCTGGTGGAAACAGCTGCTGCTGAACAGGTTTTGCCACGTAGAACTCCAGGGTCGTCTGCTGCGACCTCCTTGCCTTCTTTGACGAAGAGGACACCTCCTCTGCTTCTTTCCTCTTCTTGCAAGCCACCTGGACGTAACGAGAAGGGAGGATCCATTTGGCCATGGTCCTCGGGAACTTGTGCACCATTACGGCCGGATCACTCAGAATGTTCTGAGGGGTCCTGGATGGGTCAGCAACAACACTGTATGCCATGGAGACCATGATGTCCCTCATGTGAGTGAACACGACAGAGGCAAGCACCGGGGCACGCCACGCCGTTTTAACCAATGTTCTGAAGGCTCTAGCGCGGGACCTGAGGGTGGGGGCATTCGGAAAGAGATATTGCAAATCAGATAGGAGGTACCAGAACGCATGGTCGAACCAAGTGATGTTCTTGCCACAGTCCCCTTTTCCTGAGACAATACACTGACACTTAAGAAACGGGCGGCCCACGTTCCAAATACGCTTGAGCTCAGCGATTGTAGACTGGACCCTGGGGCCCATAAAGCCACGGGCAGCAAGCATACAGGGAGAGACTAAGCACTTGGTGGGATCAAACTCTCCCAAAATCGGTAGTTTTATATTGTCGGGTGTAAGTGCGTGATCACCTCTGATAAGCTCAGTGTTCTCCATGAGAGTTTTCTCGCTACACTTCTTCATCTCGTCCTCGGATAAGGAGGTTAAAAAACAGTAGAAATCAGCCTGAATCGGCGCGAGGTAATTAAAGGTGAGCAGATCCCACAACTTGTCATTAACTTCCCGAGATTGCATCTCAATCCACCTAGAGGGAGCAATGGGTAGGAAGGCATTCCGCGTGAACTTGTTGACCTGCGCTTTGTGGTTGCTAGCAATAACCTTGACCTTCTCCCTCCTATTCTCCGCAAGGAGGTTCGTATGGAACTCCTTCTCAGCTTCAGTGAGCGATTTAAGGTCAATACTGTCCTGACTCTCTGAATCCGTCACATCCGCAAGAACCGAAGCGTCCTTTTGGATGAGCCCCGAGTGAAAATTGGACTCCGCATTCCACAAGTCAACAAATACTTTCTCCTTCATAGCAATCTCATCATGGATACTCAGCTCAACCAACTCATCCTCACTTGCTATACTACACGTCTATGTGACCAGAACTTCGGTAAGCTCAAGAAATGCAGTTTTGTCGTTGGACAGTAGGCTAGCCCAATGGTCAAATGATAAGACATTGATGAGCAGGGGAACAGACGGGGGGGTGCCTACCGAGTGGACTTTCACAAATTCCAGGATTTTTTTTGGGGCGAGCGAAATTAGAGCCTGAGTAGGGCGCGACGGGGAGGGGAAAGCACCAAGCCATTCCAAACCATCAGACAGCAGGTCTGTGTACCATCCGTTGTAAGAGAACGAAGGTATCTGTCACAAGTGAAGAACACAGTCCATGTTAGCACAAGAGTTCCACGAGGCAATCCATCCATGTGCAACAAAGGGTCAGCAATCATATTGGAACCACCATATGCAGACAACAAAAATTCAGGGGTTATGACGAAGGTGTTGGTGACCATCGGTCGATGCAAAGCATGTAGTAGGACGCAACATGAAGACAGGGAGTCAGACCCCGTCTACAACAAAAAAAAGGGGGGACCCCTTTGTGTGTGTCTTATCACGGTACAATACTGTCGCGAACGCGATCACGACACGTTGCGTAAACAAACACGCGGGTAAGCTACGATAGACAGGTCATGGTCATTTCCATCATGTAACCCAATAATCTCCATGTTCAATTGCATACGAAGGAGGCACACAATCTTGCCTTCAACGTATGATGGCTATGATTCCAGAGGGAGATAAACTCCCAACATGCATTGCAACCAGTCCTATGGAGACAGCACCTGCCCACAATTCCGGAAAGGATTACTCAACTGTCAACAGGGCTATTTAGAAAAAAGCAAGGAGGTGTTCTGTGAATCATCACGCACGACTTTGCCTAGGTTTATGCATTCCACATAAGAACAAGTGTACATAACGAATCTCTAAACATAACACCCATGTGAGGCTCAGCATGCCATCCTTGCTACGGGTACCATCAAGCACAACAAAAATGGGATAGCATAAGACATCATGACCATGAAATCAATTAAGGGATTCCAACGGTTGGTATTTATGATAGCTCAACAAGATCCAATTGCACATGGACACCAAATCGAACATGTGGCCTGAAACAATGGTAGCAAGTAAATTCGGGACATAAAATTTCACAAGTCAAAGATGACGACCAAAAGGTAGTACAACACACGAAAGCACTGCAGCCACGGGTCGCACCGTCATATACCCATGCTAGTGACCTATCTCGAAACAACCACCATGGGCACCATGCCCACAACCTCAAAAAAGCTCGGGCAAAAATTCGAACAAATTGGTTCTTACTCCTATAAGCCAAGGTACGTACGACCACACACAGTGTGGTTTGCCTGCCTTCAATCACGAGCTAGTACATACTACGTTTCGTTATAAGGAGGGACGCTAAGTGAGGTACCATGAATAGCAATGAGGACCCCACTCGGCATACATGCAGTAACCTTCCAATGAGGCCATGTGACTCATCTGCCGGCACAGTGGAACCCCTAGTATTCCAAAGTAGACCTCGTCTCTAACAAGCATCATAAGCGGGGCCTGAACCAACCTTACCGTAACAAAGCAACATCGCTAGTTCAGTTTCTGTCTCTTATACACATCTAGATGTGTATAAGAGACAGCACCTATTCCAAAACCGCAGAAGGCTCCGGATGAACTGATGAACAATACTCATATATAGAGAAAAACATGCAAGACTCAGCATACCATTTACTGCCCAGGGCCCGAATGAGTAGCCAAGAGAGCAACAATCCCGATAGAGGACTACCCATGAAAAATCCCTAAACGGGAGCCTTGCTGGTCATCAGTACACAACGGTTCGTGTAAGCATTTGTACTACCCCTCACACACACACTCATTCGACACACAGCTTCCCAGTGAGGCTCAGCACGCCACCTACACCAGCAGCAGGATCAACTATCCAGATTAACGTAAATGGGGTACTAGGAGGAAAAAATCATAGTTATGTAATCCCACTCAAAAATAAACCACTGTCACGAGTAATGCAGAATCCTCGTCAAAAACGAAATCAACAATCACCAGCAATCAAAGCTTCATGCGGAACTGACAAACAGAGAACTCCTAAAGTTACCAAGCTCCTCCGAGCTGTCCGATCACCACGCCTGAAGGTGACGCTTCAGAACCCTAAGCACCACCTAACCACGTTGAAACCATTCCGACCGACATCATTATCCACAGCAGGTCACCGACGTCGAAAAAAATACTCAAGCGGAATGCTCAGTCTGAGAATTATTTCATTAAGCGAAGACCCTTGAGTTAAGAACAGAGAATCATAGACACCGATCCGCATCCCGTAGGGTCTCGAGGGAACTGTGCGCTATTACGAAGGGAGGTAACAACAAATTTCGCCAAAAGGACACACGCACACCGGGCGGGAAGCAGAAACGCCATACAAAGTTACAGTCGGTCACAACTACAAGTTTTTGCACACCGCACCTCCAGGCAACTAGTACTTCAGACGCCGAAAAAACCGGCAAGGAGCGTCACGCCTTCAGAAGAGATCCGGTTCCGAAGCAGATGGCAAGGGAACCTCACAATGCAGACCAAATCATCAACGCAAGGATTCAATTAGGCATTACAATCCTGATGCCCCATCAGGTCGCCAAGCGAGCCAATCAGTCAACAATGCAGATCCAGACGACGCAGGTATCAAGGAGACCGACGGTGCGGCTCAAAAACCAAACCCGGATCAGTCGAAGCACAACCCCTAGATTCACCACAACAATTTCTCCTTCGCTGCAACCACATCCATATATCTGATTTGTAAGCGCCCGGATAAGTGGAACGATGCACTCACAATTGCCCATCCATCATCAAACCACAATGGATAACACCACTAATTTGTAGATAATCAGGCCATGCATATACAAAACCAACCGCCCTGCCTCGTAAAGGTGGGGGGTTCGCAAAAAAGGTGAGCGCAAGTCCCAAACCCGGCGTGGTGACTGCACAAAGGCTAAGGGCAACAAAGAGAGGTACTATAAAGAGGACAACGAAGGAGGGCGTCATATGATATGAAGGGCAAGTAGCAGGATGCAACTGATGTATCTTCGAGAAATCCACTGATACCCAGAGAACACTACCCCAGAATAAGAGAGAGAAGGAAAGGAGGAGGGGGCAGGATATCGAAACAGCATATGCGAGGAGGACCAAGATTCTACCGCGGACATCCATTGCAGCAAACAAGTAAGTCGAGGTTGTTCGCTAAAAGGTATCACGCCTGCCGAGACTAATCGTCAGTGTCCTACACCCTACACCACTTAGGGGTAGCTGGAACAAAACAGTTGTCGCGAAATGATGAGTAGAAGATCCTCGTCTGAGTGTCCAAGAAGGCCAAAAACGCAAAATAGGCCAAGCATATGACGCAAAAGGATGCAAGCAAATGGGCGATCGCAAGAAGCTCCATGACTCAGATCATCCATCCGCAGAAGGTCACTGTCCACACTGCTGTAGTGTCGGTGAGGACGCAAGCAGCTCCTACATCAAAACAGACAGAAACAAAGGTACAGGCAAAATATATATACACAAACCGGAGATCGGAACAAGTAGGTGGTTAAATCATACACATGGGGAGGCAGACAATGGACATAAAAAGGTGAATGGAGGAACAGGGAGGAAGGGAAGGAGGAAGGTCCCAATTTGATCAGGCGGTTCGTCGAATGTCGGCGTCTGGCAAGAAGGTAGTGGAACTCGTTCTGAAGTACTTTTCACCGGTCTCCACAAATACCGGATCTTCAGAGAACTTAAACAACTCCCATGACGCATCGAAAGGGACAGGAACAATGTTGGGTCAAGCCCATATTCCATGAAGACGAAGAGTACGAACGAATAGGGGAGGGGGAGAGAAAACCATTGATACAACAAGGTAAACAAGGCATGAAATCTCCACCCATACTAGCAAACGGGGCTAGACTTCACGACGCGATGGTGGGGGGTTGGAGGTGGGTGGTGGGTACAATTAGGGAGAGTAAATGGTTACCGTGATGGCGGCCATATCCTCGCAGCGGTGCCGACTCGCCAAACACTTCAACACCCGCCGATACCCGCAGGTACGCGACCACTCCAAAACGTAGCCACGGAAGGAATCGACACACAAAAACGGCAATGCAGCGAGGATACTTGCAAGAAGGCAGCGGTGGGTGCTGGCAGCATGCACTAATCTCAGCGGTGGTGATTGCTCAACAGTCATCCATGCGAAAGTTCGGCCTTCCAGATGGTAACAGCAAGCATTGGCAGCATGCCCCTCCCACATCCAGCACGCGATAGCGTCGCCCGGCGCAAAGGGGGGGAGAGGCGGAAACCGGCGGGCAACAAAGGCAAATGCCGATCACGTATGCATAGCGCCAAGAGAGAAGCCAAACGCGCATCGCGCAAGAAGCAGATACGTGTCGGCAATCTCGAACAATGGCATGCCCAAGGCGTGTACCACCAGAGCCCCAAGGAAAGGCGTGCGCTATTCAGTGGAACAACGCTCGTCCCCCAAAGGCCCTAGCAGCAAACGCGGCTTAGAGTGAGAGGAGTTGACTGGTTGCCCGTGTGGTTTAAGTAATCCTGGACCCCGGCGAGATATCCGGAGGTCCCATCGTAGGCGGTGGGCGCCACTTCTTTAGATACAAGGTACAGAGGCGCGGTACTAGGGGCTCATGCGACAGATAGCGGGTTAATTCGTGGGTTATCAGGACCCTTTGGCTGGACAACGGGGATCATGGGCCAATTCTTTTGGCGGACATCCGGTACCCACTTGCGGGTCAGTGGCCGGCAGGGTAGGCCAAAACGAAAACCTGAAAATGGGAGAAAGGGAAAGTCACCAAAATGGCAAGGGAGGGGTGTGGAATGCACAAGGCCCCAACTTGCACGTATGTACCGTACGTCCCTACATGTGTGCGTGCGCGAGCGTTTGTGTGTGTGTGTGTGTGTGTGTGTGTGTGTGTGTGTATGTGTGTGTGTGTGTGTGTGCGTGAGAGAGAGAGA